TTTCAACAGAAGGYCAGTTCAAGTCATCTCATTGATGTTCATCACCTGTCACAACTCTCGTTCTTTTTTAAGCCTACAGAAGCTCGTGATCTTTCTTACTTTCTTTCAGGAATGAGTGGGACTTTCTTTACAATTTATCCCTCATGTAGTATGAAATTCTTAGTGTACCATAGGCGGTAATCTGGCTTTAATCGATTTCCTTCCTCTAGTTAAAGATTWAAATATGGATACTAGCTCTGCTCTATGCTAGTTGGTAGCTCACCAGGCTCTTCTGTTAGCCTCTCGAGAGCCTTCTCTCTATGCYTCCTTTTCTTGTTGCTACAGGCCTCTGAAAAAGATCAGATAGGAACTAGTTCACCTCTAACAACTATYGAAAAAGGCTTTCTTTGAGGGTGTAGGATTTCAATATCGACTTGAATTCCACTTTATCAAAGTCTAGTCCTTATGCRCTAGGGCGCTCATCCGTTACTTCAAGTGCTTTTCCTTGAGCTAATCCTCTTGCTAGGAGCTCGGACAGTTCGAGCRTTAGAAGTAGCAGAGTCAAGGTAGCATTCCATGTAGCAGCACTCTAGTATTTAGTACATACGAGCTCCGGCCCTCAGCAGCTCGAATACAAAATAAACTTGTTCATTTATGTTACCTGTTGTGGACCTTCAACGTTTCACCTTTCATAGATTTGGGAAAGGCTGTTTTGGTTTGGGAAGTGACGTTGAGACTGGGCACGTGCGATAAGTAATAAAGAAAGCAAAGGGAAATCGGASGAGTTAGAGCAGGGAACAATGGGCATCCCTGCCTGGAAAACAAAGAGTAGAGTCAGGCGAAGGACCTGACGCAACTCTACTACCGCCTTTCCTACCAAAAAGCTAACCCAACCRAAGGAAATTACATAAGGTCTGGAAAGGGCTATAAAGAATCTCATTCCTTCCTCCCTTTCTTCCCCTGTTTCCGAGATCGATATAGCCCTCTCGAAACCTAGCTGTTAGAGTCGCATTTCCGGGCTAATATTCCACTTAATCCCYGAATGGGTACTTGAACCCTTCTCCTGCAAGGTATAGAACAACTAAGGTGTGGGCCCTGCTCGCTGCTGTACTTGTATGTATAGAGCCATGTTAGCTTCACATGGGAGCCTTTTTCTAAAGGCTAAAAAGGCACTCATCAGTCAACTCGGCCCCTTTCCTATTCCGCTTTGCCGCCTATTAAGAGAATAGGTCCCGTTGAAGCGGCCCACCTTTATGCTTCTCTCCTCGAGAACCGCTCACCCCTTCACTGGAAACGACTTATGCTACCCCACCCCAAGCAACGGTCGGGGTGCCCATCAACATGGCGGGGAAGCCTAGCAGAACGGCTATCCCATACTTGGCTAGGCCCATTGTGTTATCCCTATTTACTTTGTTTGTTGGAGTCATAAGACGAATGGTTAACGATGACTCTGATGGGTGGTTTTGCTAGAATAGGCAATAATGAGGTCACTATTTTAGTAAATGATGCGGAGAAGGCTAGTGACATTGATCCACAAGAAGCTCAGCAAACTCTTGAAATAGCGGAAGCTAACTTGAGGAAAGCTCAGGGCAAGAGACAAATAATCGAGGCAAATCTAGCTCTCAGACGAGCTAGGACACGACCACGCGGAGCGCCGGACCGGCCTATTGAAGAAAGAGATCATTAAACCAATTTTGCCGAGCTAAGGTGTGGAACCCTCATTTTTTAGTCTTTTTTTTTTATATAATAAGCTAAAGGGGCTGGGAATCGCAAGAATTGAGAAGTCCTCCATTGAATGGGGTGGAAAAGAA